TGGACCTCGCGATACCTCGTGTTTCTGTTCATTCCATCCATCCATCCATCCATCCATCCATCCATCCATCCATCCACGCTGTGCAGCATCGGAACCACCGCTTGCAGCATCCAGCGCTTTCATGGGATCCTTCGACCATCGTTTCGCCTCGTGGTCTCAAAGATGGGCCGGGCGGGTGCCGCGAAGAAAGGTCGGCCTCGGGGTGCGGCGTGGTGGGTCTTGGCGGGCGAAGTGGGTGGCGAAAGGCGGATCAACTACCGCTACCCCCATGACCAATCACAGGTCAAATTCATTTCGGTACCAAGAGCACTCTCCAGTGCTTAGACCTTGGGCATCTCTTCAGGAGGAAACTATGTTGACATCTCCTCTGTCATGGACTGCTGTGGGGTTTGCCATGGTTTGTCTAAATCGCACCCCATACGCAACCATGACCAAGCGTTGAGCCGAAATCGAGATTTTGGACCATCCAATCGTGCGCCACCAGTGAGAAATTGCAACAGTCACGATTGAAGCGAGTTTATCTATAGATAGAATGTGGAAAAGATGGGAAACACCATGACGATCCAGTTTCCACAACTAGGGATTCTGTCCACTACTTATCAAGTTGACTCAAAAGAGATGGAATACGGGAAGATGGTCTCCACTGACATGACCGACAAGGGCCTTCATTGACCAAAACAACACCGGAAAAAGATGGAAAAAGAATGCCTAGATCGGAGTTTTCGGCAAGACTCTTCTTCCATACATTTCCAGCAAAGCTCTGACTCCTCCAAAGATCAAGATGACCAGTCCTGTTTGACACAGTACGGGACATCATGCCGATCTATTTTCAGCCAAGCGCAACTTTAGCTACCACACACTATATATTGTCTTTGTGCGTATCATGCTTTGGGATTGCATGATGCTGCATCTTTCAGAAGCTTGTTGCTCTCGCTGGCTTTGGCCCAAGCCTGAACCCGCGCAGCCCACCGTGCTGCGTGCGGCCCTGAGACCCGCACCTCTGCTTTCCGCTTCGCGGAAGCTGAGGCCGTCGGAACTCGGCCGTCTGAATCGAGGAACATGGTGAACATGACAAGTCATGACTCCTTGGGCATTGAAGTGCTGTGATTCCTATCCACTAAAGAGATCTCAATCCTTTGCAGAGCAGCGAATCATCGTGGCTTCAGTGGGAGGGTGGCTGGTTTTTCATGGGTGCCGGGTGCAATGAATGGATGTACTAGATCCATTCCCAATCCTTTTATAAATTCGTTTTGATGGGTTTAAAGTGTAAACAAACCCAAGAAGCTTGAAGGAGGTTTCGCACCCATTCAGTCACTGTGTCTTGATCCATCTTGATCCCTTTCAAAGATGTCAGGCGCTTCCATCTGATGCAGCTTCGAACACTCATGCTGTTGGCCCTGGTTGGCCTCACACAGGGTGCCAGAGCTCAGCAGGTGGTCGACCAATTGAAGTTTCCGCATTCTTTTCACTTTTCCAGAGGGCCTGCTCTTGAACATCATCGTCCTCCAGATTTCTGTGGAAGAAATTGCAGACTTAACACCGCGAGAATCCGTGATGTCATTTTTGATTTTTGTTGGTGGAAGCAAACCACCGGATCAATTCAGCTGCTCTTGTAATTCTTGTTAGTTTGGAGGCCATCGCTACTAGGTTGGAGGCCATCGCTACTAGGTTGGAGGCCATCGCTAGTAGGTTGGAGGCCATCGCTATTAGGTTGGCGGAGGTCGCTAGTAGGGTGGAGGCCATCGCTCTTGGGTTGGAGGCCATCGCTAGTAGGTTGGAGGCCATCGCTATTAGGTTGG